CAAGCATTAGCAGGTATTTGTACTTTTACGGCCCAGGTGTATCACACATCCGACCCCCTTTGTTGCTTTGTTATCTGTCTAGACAAGACTCTAGGACTTTGAGTACTTTTGGGTTACATCAGCAGCTCTGTGATTACCCAGTTTAACATTTCTGCACTGAAGACCTAGTTTTTTTTTTTTTTTTTGTCATGACAGTAAACCCATGTTCTTTGTAATGTAATGCGTTGAGTTTGCCACTTGAAGCTGTTGTGGATGTCCAAAGTTCTTATTAATGGTGGATATTTATACCCGCTTGAGTTTTGTGTCATCTCAGCAGATCAACTTATCTGCTTTTACGTGACTGAGGACAATCTGGGGCTGTATAAGCTTGTGTTTATTTATTTATTTTTAGATTTCCAAGCAACAGCACGTCTGCACTTACACTAAATTATTTAAATATTCATAATATAAGTATATACACTGTTCAGAAGAATGAAGAAAGAAATCTCTAATGCTTACCATTACATTTATTATATCAAAAGGCATTAAACACACTAACATATTACATTTTAAATGAAAAATTTTTAACAATTGAACTGAATTCTAGCATCATAGATCCTTCAGAAATCATTCTAATATGCTGAACTGGTGCCCAATATATAATGATAACACTTGTGCTGCTTAATATTTTTGTGATATAATAAAATATTTTGTAATGTATCTACCTTAAATTTCAAAAACAATTTGACTCTTTTAAATGCTTAGACTCATTACTGCACATGCAAAATGTTATGGAAATAACGTGTCTGCTCCATGGCTTCATTTTCATGTTATGTAAGAACTTTCAATCTGACGTACACATGTAAACCTCGTGTGTGTGTATGATATGTGGAAATTACACATTGATAGGATTATTCTCCCAAAATTTAAATCTGCTGTTAATTGACTTTTAAATTTTAATTTCAAAATATATTTGTTTATATTATATAAAAATATATTATATTAAAACATATTTTGTTCAATACATATGTTTACATTAATTTGCATTTGAAAGCATTTCTGTTTTGTTTCCATTTTCCTAAAGTCACTCTGAAAGCACTTAAATATTCTTACTGATGCAACAAAAGCCTACTGAGATGATACAGGGAAATCAGATAATAAAGATAAAGTTTTTATTATCTGTTCTCCGGGCAATAATTAAATCTAGATTGAATTTGATTATCATTCAATGTGTGATTTAATTTCATGTTTTGCTCATCTTTTTTCATGCATCTCTGAAGATGTATTAAATATATATTGTACCAACATAACATGAGAGCACGTTGCAGTTACTGGTATATCTATATTTCAGTGCACATGAATAAACATGTCATTTTTATTTCAAACATCGAATTTTTAAAGCTATCCGTTTGGAGGAACAAAGGGACCTCAACAATCTCTATATTGCAGGGCAAACATTGGTGTCTCAATGAGGACAGATGGTCAAAGTGTCAAAGTGTATCTGTTTTAATGTAGACATTCCAGAGTTGTAAAGAGCAATAAACTGGGTTTATTAAAAATAATATTAATGAAAAGTAATGCTCATTGTCAACTGTAGTCTCATTTAGAACAAATTTTCATTGCGGAAAAGGTCTCTTATAATCAGGGGTGCCCAAACTCTTTCTTATGAAGTGCCAAAAACCAAACATGATTGAGTCTAGTGCGCCAGGCGTAAATACAGTATATACGCTATGGATGATTTCCTCAATTATTGTATAAAGTTTATAAGTATTTAGCTAAAAATATTTAACTAGAAAACATTGCTTTATATTAACTAATACTGTAGGGAGACTCCAGACACTCCATAGATAAAGCACATGAAAAAATCTGGTTAAAAAAATTCACGTGTTACTCACGTGTTCTAGTGCTGTGGATGTATACCCTGGGTTGTAAACTGGTAAACAGACACCTGCGTTTGGTTCATGAGAGATCGACCAGTTCGGTGAGTCATAAAATGTGATTATCGACTGATACTGATCTTCAGCCGATCGATCAGAGCATCCCTATAATACAGCATACATTGCATTTTATTGGGAACTTTTCATTCATTCATTTTCTTTTCGGCTTGGTCCCTTTATTAATCTGGGGTCGCCACAGCGGAATGAACTGCCAACTTATGCAGCAAATGTTTTACGCAGCCGATGCTCTTTCAACTGCAACCCATCACTGCGGAACACTCATAGACTCTCATTCACACACATACACTACGACAATTTTAGCTTACCTAATTCATCTGTACTGTATGTCTTTGAACATGTGGGGGAAACCGGAGCACCCGGAGGAAACCCACACAAATGTGAGGAGAACATGCAAACTCTACACAGAAATGCCAACTGACCCAGCCGAGACTAGAACCAGTGACCTTGCTGTGAAGCGACAGCACTACCTACTGCGCCACCGCGTCGCTCTTATTAGGAATTTATTACAGTAAAAACAAAAACGATTTAATTAACAACAAAATGGAGTTACTCTAGTTTTTGCCATGATTTGCTCACTAATGTCTTCTACAAAGTCTTCTATCCATCGAGGGACATTATTTACTGTACATTTAAAAAAAATAGATTCATTTGCAAGATTTAAGTGAAATAATTCATTTCAGTTTGCTTTTTTGTAGCTTAGCAATAAAACAAACAAACAAAAGATCCAGTCAAATTAGAAATGACAATCTCTTTTAAAGGCATTCACTTCAACCCTCTCCATCACTCTCTTCTCAGATGGGATGGTGGACCAAACCAAAGGTTACAATAGGCCAATTTTGGCCCGCACGCCCTACTTTGAACATTTCTGTTTTATAATGAAAAATTTCCCTGTAGAGAAAACAGTTTAACACTGACACTGACGTAAAATTAAAAAAGTATATCTTCTCTACAGCTGCACATCAAGCTTTGAGCTCAAATCACCGAAACCTGAAACAGAAAGGGCTGTTAGGCATGTTTTCATACAGAGTCCAATAGGAGAATCTTCCCTCCAACAAAAATGTCTGTCCTGCACACATTGTCCAATTATACCAAATCGCTCCAATTAGTCTGTCATAGATACTCAAGCAACAAAAGGAGGGAATGTTCCGATGACATAAAGTGTCATTATTATTATCATCATCATTTAATATAATCATCATAACTCCAGAACATTAGTCCCAAGGTTATAACGAATAACACCACCATATCCATTCATTCATTCATATACTGTATCAGATGTGGAAAAATGAGTAGCGCCCATCTACAAATGCAATAATCTGAATTTCGCACAATGTAATGAGGTCAGACAGTGAATGGATCTGTCTTAAGCTCTGTACGCTATGTACTAGTGATCCATGTGTTCAAGAAGCCCCCGCTGTGCAGACATGAAAAGAAATCACTCCAGATGTGGCTGTACTGCTGCACGCACTCCTAATTAATAATGCATTGTTTTTCTTCAGAGAGGCGTCAGAGTGTGTTACTCTTGCACGGCTGCTCTCAGGTCGTACTAATCGATGCTTCTTGCTGAGCCACGGCCTCCTGCAGGCTTTACAATGAAGAATATCTTTCCTGAGAAATTGGGCCTTGCATGCCACGCTTATGTAACTGTCTGCAGCCAGGTCATAAAAGTCAGTGCCAAATCAGCAGTTCCAAACAGAATATATGGGTGCTGTATTTTTGATAAGCTTAAGTCCAAATAAGTAACTATTACCAAAGCACTGAAGTTTATTAGATGAATGTGTCTTTTATTTGACATATGATTTCATGTAATTCAAAAGTGAGAAAATGTATCGGTCAAAAATGAAAAGGGGATTTTAAGCATCAAAATAAAAAAGTGTAATTAGGAACTGTGCAACTGTAGAAAAAGGCTTTTTTAGACACACTAGAATATCATTGAGTGTAAAAATAATTTTTATATAAAGGTTTTTACACATTCACCATGAAACTGAAACAATCAGTTTATATATACAGTCACCGGCCACTTAATTAGATACACTTTTCAACTGCTATTCATTCATTCATTTTCTTGTCGGCTTAGTCCCTTTATTAATCTGGGGTCGCCACAGCGGAATGAACCGCCAACTCATCCAGCATGTTTTTACGCAGCGAATGCCCTTTCAGCCGCAACCCATCTTTGGGAAACATTCACACAAGCATTCATACATGCACTACGGACAATTTAGCTTGCTCAATTCACCTGTACCACATATCTTTGGACTGTAAGGGAAACCGGAGCACCCGGAGAAAATCCACGAAAACGCAGGGAGAACATGCTAACTCCACACAGAAGCACCAACTGAGCCGAGACGAGCCGATGTTCGAACCAGCTACCCAGTGACCTTCTTGCTGTGAGGCAACAGCACAACCTACTGCACCACTGCGTCGCCGTCCAACTGCTAGTTAACGCAAATTTTTAATTAACCAATCACATATGCAGCAACTCAATGCAGTTAGGCATGTAGACATGGTCAAGACGATCTGATGCAGTTCAAACCGAGCATCAGAATGAGGAATGAGAAAACATGTGTCCACTCCATCATCAGAACACTGGATTAGAGGGGTTCTACATTGCATCTATCTTGAGAAACTGAGACATTGTTTCAAAGGATCACTGAATTCCTTTACTGTCATTGGGAACCTTAACATTTCAGAACGTGCTGACTAGAATTTCAAAAAGGAGAAAGAGAGACTTTTAGCATTCACTTTAAATTATCTTCTTATATGTATTATATAATTTTATTTATTTATTTATTTATTTATTCATTTGTATGTTTGTTTGTTTGTTTGTTTATTTGTTTATTTATTATTATCATTATTGTCATTATTATTATTTTTGTTATTATTATTATATAAATATTATTATATAATTGGTTTATTATTTCTTAATATGTGTCTTGATTCATCTTTGCATACTTATTGGAGGCCTCAGGAAAGAGGGAGGGGTGGGAGATGGGAGGGATGGTGCTTAGAAGGGGGTTGTCACGATTTAGCGTGATCAAAAACAATAAACAAAAAACAGAAAGGTGCGGATCCAAGTGCAGATTATTTATTTACAGTGCAGCCAACAAGGTGATAATACAAAGTAACAAATAAACAACAAAACCAGAAACTAAATCAGAGACGAGGCTCAGGAAAAACAAACTCAAACAACTAAACCTAATTAGAAAACAGGCTAGACAAATGACACACGAACTAGACTAATGCAAACATACGAGAACAGGATCAGAAATACAAACTTGGAAATCTAAGACTTACTGGAAACTTGAAAAAGGAAGACAAGGTAGACAACGACGCGATGACAAACATAGGTGGAATGGTAGAATATATAGTCCAGATAATCAACGGTAACACAAAACAGATGAGATGACGGGTCAGTGTAAGTGTTCCGGTGTATGCGCGTGGGATGTATGAGAATGTAGTTTTTTCCCTGGGGCACTGTAGCGCCTACAAGTCCTAGAGCGCTACAGCGCCCTCAGGTGGTCACAGACGGATGTGACATTACCCCCCCTCTAAAGAGCGGCTTCCAGACGCTCCCAGACTGGTTCCAAGAGGGGGGGCGGAGCGGAGCAGGAACAAAGGGAGGGATGGGAGGGCCAGATCATGGTCAGGCAGTGGGTCAGGCACCCCAGCAGGAAGCCAGGGTGCGGCCGGTGAATCTGTCCCAAGTAGTGGGAAGGACCACCAGGGAGGGTCGGGAGGGATGACCCATGGATGATCCCGCAGGAGGCACAAGGCAGGGGGTTTTAGGAGAGCCGGCTGGAGAGGCAACTGGACTGGAGCAGGCGGAACTGGAGGCAGCTGGGCAGGAGCCGGCGGGACTGGAGGCAGCTGGGCAGGAACCGGCGGGACTGGAGGCAGCTGGGCAGGAGCCGGCGGGACTGGAAGCAGCTGGGCAGGAGCCGGCGGGACTGGAAGCAGCTGGGCAGGAGCCGGCGGGACTGGAAGCAGCTGGGCAGGAGCCGGCGGGACTGGAGGCAGCTGGACTGGAGCCGGCGGGACTGGAGGCAGCTGGACTGGAGCCGGCGGGACAGGAGGCAGCTGGACTGGAGCCGGCGGGACAGGAGGCAGCTGGACTGGAGCCGGCGGGACTGGAGGCAGCTGGACTGGAGCCGGCAGGGCATGGAGCCGGACTGGGACCGGCAAGGCAAGACGTCTGGGAGGTGCCGGCAGGGCAAGACGTCTGGATGGCGTTGGTAATGCCAGGAGCCGGGCTGGGACCGGCAGGGCGAGGAGCCGGGTTGGGGCCGGCAGGGCAAGACGTCTGGGTGGTGCCGGCAGGGCGAGGAACCTGGGTGGCGCCGGCAGGGCGAGGAGCTTGAGTGGCGCCGGTAAAGCCAGGAGCCGGACTGGAACCGGCATTGAACTGCGCTCTGGGGCTGGAGCCGACAGGGCGAGGAGCCTGGGTGGCGCCGGCAGGGCGAGGAGCCTGGGTGGCGCCGGCAGGGCGAGGAGCCTGGGTGGCGCCGGCAGGGCGAGGAGCTTGGGTGGCGCCGGTAAGGCCAGAAGCCAGACTGGAACTGGCATTGGACTGCGCTCTGGGGCTGGAGCCGACACTGGCGGGCGCTCTGGGGCTGGAGCCGACACTGGCGGGCGCTCTGGGGCTGGAGCCGACACTGGCGGGCGCTCTGGGGCTGGAGCCGACACTGGCGGGCGCTCTGGGGCTGGAGCCGACACTGGCGGGCGCTCTGGGGCTGGAGCCGACACTGGCGGGCGCTCTGGGGCTGGAGCCGACACTGGCGGGCGCTCTGGGGCTGGAGCCGACACTGGCGGGCGCTCTGGGGCTGGAGCCGACACTGGCGGGCGCTCTGGGGCTGGAGCCGACACTGGCGGGCGCTCTGGGGCTGGAGCCGACACTGGCGGGCGCTCTGGGGCTGGAGCCGACACTGGCGGGCGCTCTGGGGCTGGAGCCGACACTGGCGGGCGCTCTGGGGCTGGAGCCGACACTGGCGGGCGCTCTGGGGCTGGAGCCGACACTGGCGGGCGCTCTGGGGCTGGAGCCGACACTGGCGGGCGCTCTGTGGCTGGAGCCGACACTGGCGGGCGCTCTGTGGCTGGAGCTGACACTGGCGGGCGCTCTGTGGCTGGAGCTGACACTGGCGGGCGCTCTGGGGCTGGAGCCTTCCTCCTCCTGCGCCGCCCTCGTCTGGTGGTTTGAGACGTGAGAACGGTGTCATCTGGAGAAGGAGCTTGCTCTGGAACTGGAGCTGACACTGGCGGGCATTGTGGGCATAGGGCAGAGGCTGAAGTTTCACACAGCTCCAGAAGACTCTCCAGGGGCTCTGAGAAGGGTATTCTTCTGGTAACCCGACGCGGGTAAGTCCGTAACTCCAGTCCTGCCTCTCTCCTCTTTCCTTTAGTTAAATCAGCTGGCCCCGAAAATATCCCTCTCTGTTGCCATCTACTCAGGCCTCCCTCCTGAGGGTTCTCCTCCTTCAACTTAACATCTTTAAAATATCTAGTAAATTGGCATCAAGGAAAAGGTAAAATAAATCAGTTATTAGAAATTAGTTATTTAAATTATATTGTTTAAAAAAGTGTTGAAAAAAATCTCTATGTTTAACAAAGATTGGGGAAAAATAAACGGGGGTTTAAAAATTCTGATTTCAACTGTACATTGTATAATTATACAAAATCAAAGAACAAACTACGTAGTTTACTTTGAGTAATTTTTGATCTTGCATCCAGCAAAACACTGCAATCTGCTGTTGCATTGATGTAACTAAATTGCTTTTAAGTTGCGGAGACTGTGCTTTACTAAACTGAATTGCAGTGAATACACACAGATTTTCCCACAGTAATACTTTGTGCAAAAGTGATGCAAGTGTTTTTCGTTCCATAATGAGAGGAACTGTGTGTGCCAACAGTGTGTGTTGAAATAGCATGTCAGTATGCAACAGTTTTACCCTACTCTGCAAACTGAGATTGAACAACTTGATGCCATCAAGAATATGCCTTTCGATATTGTTAGAGATATGCATCGGAGATATTGTTTGCAACTCTTAGTCACTGTAAAAACAAGCCAGTTAGTAGAAAGCCTGTTTCAATCTAATGCAAATACAAAGGGTGTGAACGCGTTCAGTGTATTTGCACTCAAACTTTTACTTCACCTTCTCTCTCAGCGCTACAGTACATTTTATTCATTTTATTCGACATTTTTCATTTGAAAATATAATAATCAGATAATGATTTATGTAAATGCAGGTACAGTAAAAGACAAAGCAGCTAAGACAAGAAGTAGTGAAAGAAGTTCTGTTATTCGTAACTATACATTTGAAGGTTTATAGAAACAGATATCTCAGTATGGCCCCTATTCATATTTAAAAAACCACTTTCTTTTGTTATTTTCAGATATGTAGTCACACAGACACGGTTTTACATAACAGTGAACCGAGTCAACCGCCACACCCAGAGATATGCAGAAGTTCTTTTTGTAAAGGTATGGTATTAACATGTGTTTCTAAACTAAACCATCCAGCAGAAACTATCCAGTCCGCAGAGCAAACACAAAACCTGACTTGATCCCATTTTCTTTCTTGATGCCTGTTCCTGGTGTTGTTATGAATGATTTATTGTTGCACTCTACATATCATAAAAATGTTTTTGTAATCATTAATCAAAATGAAATAATATGCTCAATACTTCTACTTCATCTTTAAGACAACTTTCCTTCTTTGTGAATGGCAGCCTTTTAAGGCACAAACAAAATTAGACGGTAAAAAAAACATATTTATAGAGCCCCTATTATAGGTTTTTAAAAATAACCTTTCATGCAGTGTTTAACACAGTAATAAATGAAGTGAAATACAGTATCTAGCTAAGGCTTAAATCTGAAAGTGCACCTTGTTTAAAACTATTAATTCATCTATAAATGAGTCAACTCAGAGTGGTTTAAATGAATCGTGGGGTAACGAGTCTTTAGCCTCTTTTAGCCGTTTGTTAAAGAAAGGGCTATTGATGTATGTGACTTTGTCACAGCTTGACGGAAACTTTACAGTACACAGTTCATGGATCAGTTTCTTCCTCTATTTCACAAGTACAAGTAAGTGCGATTAAAATGGTTGCCTCCTTCTTTTCTCTAGCTTGCAATTTATGTTTTTAATTGTGTTTTGTTATTTGTAACCGTTCCATGCGGATTGTACTGTATCTGGTTAACTCTTTATATTTTCATATCGTGTGTAAATCCACATTGAAAATGTGACGTGTGCCGATTTCTTTACGGATTTAAATGCGTTTGTGAGCTTGGCCACTATTAACTGTTCCCACACACAGGCAGTGGTCAAGTTTCAAAATAGTTACGCTTTTGCCACTGTGTGGATTAATACTGAATGTGCGTCATCGTTAAGAATAGAGCAATATGCTGGTGTTGAACTGCATTGCTTTATTGACTCCTGCATTGTGCTCACACTTACATTCTGCACTCTGGCTACTTCAACAATATTGATAAGCCGTGGTGGGCATTTCTCCCTGCCTCACGCTGAACACAGTTGACCGATAACAATAGATTGGCATCATGCTAAGGAGGGGTCTAAGAACAAATGAATCGCTGAACGAATCACATGAGAGTCATTGTGATAGCTAGCTACAAATAAATGCATACTATATGACAATGAAAAAGTTTTTTTGATCTTCCATGCATATCAGCCTGTTGTTGGTGACCCACAAAACCAAAATATGACCTTCTTTAATGCATTTGTATCTGCTCACAGAAAGTGTTGCTTTGTCTTCAGAAGTGGCAAGAAAAAGAATGTTCTATTGCAAAATGTTTTTTTCTTCCACCCTTAAATTATTTCCATCCCTGTTTTTGGTGAATGCGAAGTTTTTTGAAGAAATTCAAATGGGATGGGAGTGAATGCAGAAATGCAGAAACACATACACACATAAACACTGTCTATATATAAATTAAAATAATATATTTCTAACAAGAATTTATACTGACTTTTAAAGTTTAATTCTGTTAACATTACCAAACATGGCGAGGTTTGGTATTTGTCTTGCACTGCACCCGATGACAACTCACACCACAGGACGAAAGCACATCTGGAGTGTTTTAAGAACTGGAATTTTTGCTGTGAAGTGACAAAGGCAGAAGCTCAGTAGCTGAGTTCAGTAGCTATGATTTCAGAAATGTGCTCCAACACCTTCAATTGCCCTGAAAACATTCCTACCGTTTGGAGTTGCACAATCGTGTGAAGGTCAACCTCTTCAGCGACTGTCTACAAACTAAGCTCATCCCGTCTGCACTTTTGCTTACTGTACGCCCCTCCCTGCTTCATGCTTTGCATGTCTGCAAGTGTTTGCCTGTTGTCTGGCTTGGGCGCTATTTCTGGCGTCAGCAAAGGTGTTATGTTTGGTGTGACATTGACAGTACCTGCAGGGTTGCCGAGTCACTTCAATACCTTCAACCTTTTGTTTGTTATCAACTGCTTTAACTTGTGTGCCATCACATTGTCCATTTCAAGTCAAAACTCTCTTTACTGTCCTCAGGATGCTTTAAAAAATGTCAAATTTTTAATCATAGGACAGGCTCACTTTACTAAGGGTCTATGACATAAACATGGTTAGCTGCAGGTTCTCAGAAAGCCTGCCCAAGTAAACAGACCACAGGAAGAGCCTCTACATGACCCTCACATGAGGACAACAGGGAAGCTGCTTGCCTGACATGGGCCCTATTATTAGACACTCCGTGATAGACGCTGGCATGGAAGTTGTGGTTTATGTCGTGCAAGACCCTGACTGCTCGTTTTTTGCTCATATGACAGAAAAGTTGATGCAGTCCAAGAAAATTAAGTCATAACACTGTATTTTAAGTTGTCCCTTACAGACATGACTGTTACTGACTAGGTATTCAACTAAAAACAGAAAACTTAGTTGATGATAAAAAATAATAATAATAATAAAAAGTTGATGGTAGCGTGAAAAAAATGCTTGCCTGACATGGGCCCTACACTGCAAAAAATGCTTTTCTTAATTAGATTTTTTTGTCTTGTTTCTAGTCCAAATATCTAAAAGTTCTTAAATCAAGAAGCATTTTCTAGATGAGCAAAACATATTGTCTTGTTTTAAGAAATAATATGCCAAAATAAAGTGAGCTTTTTCTTAAATATTCTGCTAATGGGGTAAGCAAAATAATCTTATCACAAATCGAAAAACAAGATTATTGCCAGTATGCGTACCCTGACATAAACCTATGTTTAAAATTCTAAAATGCATCATCTCCTTTACGATGGCCTTGCTGCGGACAGTTACAACCCTTTTTGCATCCTTGTTGGAATACACTGCTAGCAATCGACGATTTCTGTTAATTTAGGAAACTGAGCGCATACTGTATTGTACAGGAGACACACAGATTGACTGATAATGGTCTACAGCCAATCAGGACGCAGAACACAATTTGCTATTTAAAAAAGTAAATAAAAATAGCCATGTCAAATCGCACAAAAAAAAATAAAAATCTGTGAAACTGCAATGCTGCGAAATGTGAACTGCATAATTTTTTTCTGTATTTTATTTGTATAGCTACAATGTAACAAAATGTTAACATTTTTCGTGTTTTATCAAGTTTTTTATTTTTTTCAGGTTATTTACGAATATGAAGTTCACTATTGGACCTTAATCTTGAACCTTTTTTTTTTGACAATTGATTTTAAAAAAAGTAATCACTATAATTTAATTACATGACTTTTATATACATTCTTGTAGTTTGAGACAACATATAATATACAAAGTAATATAGAAACAAGTCTGTAAAATGATAGAAAACATACTGGCAGTTTATTACCATGTTCACTTCAAACTTCACTTTATCAGACTTTTAACATCAAAAGTTGTTTTGTTTGGAAAAATCATGGTCCCATTATGCAATTCAAAAACATAAAAAAGAAACATGAATTACAAAATACAGTAAAATATGGATACTTTTTTTGTGTTTGTGTTGGAATTAAATAGAAGCTTTATTATGTGCTAAAACCTTTTTGCCTGGAAACATTTTTTATTCTTTAAACATAGAGTATATTAAAGCAGCATCATTAATCAACTGGGGAAGTTTGAAGATATGTCTTAATTCAAAATTGTAACCTATTCACCCCTATATATAATAAATATCTGCTCCATAATGCTGACAAATATTGTTGCATCAGCTCTGTCTCCATTCTCATATTTAACACTCAATTTTTTTGTCTTATCATCATATGTTTTTTACTCAAAAATCTCACATGATAGAAGTAAAATTTTTACAATTTTTATTATTTTGACATAGTTTTACTATGTACTACGTATTAACCAACACATCAGGCTGATATTAACACTAAAACCTTTGCGGTGGTTTAAAGCGTGAGTTCTTTTCTGAGTCGTGCCATTATATCATTTGTCAGGATCTAAATGCACACGTGATATAACCTCACGAAGAGTGTATCCGGGGGATGTCCTGAGTGTGGCTGTCAGATATGGATGAATGCA